AAAAAGAGAAAAGGAAGAAGGAAGAAGAGGAGGAGGAGGAAGGAGGAAAAAAAGGAGGACGCTAATTACCTTTGTCTCATTAATATTCACGACATTCGACCGCATCGTTATGCCTCTCGGTCCTAATCCCCTTCGCCCTGCCTCGCCCACCGCCCCTCGTTTGCTAGACGCTCCGGCATTCTTGGTCTTAACCAACCCCCGTCCGGCCTAGTCGCTTTCTTCCACCCTCGGTTGCGGTCCCTCGCGATACAGGCGACGCGTTCCGCCGGCGACGAAGAAGGATTACGGAAATTCTTAAATACCGAATCTTGTTGCCACCATCCACCCCCACGGCGATTCCTCTTTTTTCTCTCCCGGCGTGTCCCCGAGCGAGGGTGAGATCCGCCGGGAGGCCGAGCCGCTCTTCCGTAGCATCGTGTAGCTTTGATTCGACGATAAACGGCCCCGGAATTGTTTGAAACATAATTTTCTACCGGAGAGGGAGGGCGGACCTCCACGATACGGGCTCGCGAGTTCTTTCTTTTTCTTTTGATTTCCGTGGAAAGCCGGGGGAGGCAGTTGGGGGAGGAGGGAGTGACGGTGAGGGACGTTTCAGGCACATGAACACGGAGCACACGCTGGACGACAGATCGACGGCGCAGGCCAGGGTTCAGATGCAAGTTGTCTCGCAGCTGGAGATACAGTTGCAGAAGGAACGGGACCGGCTCACCGCCATGATGCACCATTTGCACGTGGCGAAGCAGATGGCGTCACCGGAACCACCAAAGTCGTCCGAGTCGTCGGTGAGTGTATCTTTTCTCATTTTTAAATTTGTTGATCGACTTTAGGAAGAAGTACAATTATTTTCGGTATTTGCAACCCCTTATTCCTCTAGGATCAATCGCTTATTTCATGATTTATTTGCTGAGTTGCAACAGTGATAGATGAAGGTGATTGACGACAGGTGATTCTCAGTCACTACTCGACATACTAAAATTCTACAGTTTTATATAGGTATAAGGATAATCTTTTAGTGCATCATTATGTACAATATTCAACGTTTCTTTCGTCATTTGTGCAGGTTTTCTCATTATTTAGTTTCAGAGAATATCGCCTGTATCTCAATAGAAAATGTTGAACGTAGTGAAAACCTTTCGATGTCGACATTTCAGAGAGATCGAATTTTCATATTTGGCACACTAAATAACAAACAAATGATTTATCCACTGAAACAGCAGGAGATTAATACATAGTTCCTTTTCTTCATTATTTAAGAAATTGACCTATAATTTAGTTTCATCTGCCGAAGGTTCTGTATAATTCAAAGAATCTTCGTCCACTAAGGGTTAATAACATAATAAGGCAAAAGTTTAATCAACGTCAATATGATAATTTCTCATAATCTAGAGCTCCTTCGCTATATTCCACACGAACTAGAAGTGTGAGAAAATAACCTCGAACCGTTAGCACGGCACGTCCGATCTATAGAAGGCAGATCTACCGAGATACACACGCTCGAGCCCCGAACGAGAGACACTCCCGTCGAGACAACCATCGGCAGTTGCTCGGCCGGAAGTTACTCTGAGCGCGCAGTATGTCAGCCGAGATATGGTGGCAATAATCGCGGCACGATGGTCCGAGAATGTGCGCGCCGGCCGGGGGCACGTCTGCCAGGATCCGGAAAAACGATCCAAACGATCCTGTCGCGCGGTGTAAACTCTTTCTGGTACGAGGACGCGTTACGCGTAGAGTCGTAAAGCCGGATTTCCACGGTCGGTCGCGACAGGGGAAAATTTTACGAGTCTCCCCGCGGCTAACAACAACGCCAGTTTCAGTTTTAACGCGCCGCCGAGTCGGCCCGCTAATTTATACATAAAGTTCGCATTAATAATTCATCGGGTCCTCGTTGATTTTATATCGCCTTAATTAAAACCTCTAACAAGTCCGGCAGTCGGAGAATACCAATATCGCATTAGCCCTCCGCGGTCGCCCGCCCCGCTACGGCGTTTCTCTCTTTCTCGCGCTCTACGCTCCCTTGGTCGACTTAATTATTTTAACGCGAAAGGGAGGAGCACTAGCCGCGAAGGTCGGATCATCTCTGATATTGAGACCGGCCCCGCTGAAATATTCGATGGAGATCGTATGAATATTTAAATGGTTACGTATTAGACTCATTAATGGTAACGTAGTCACATTGTACTCGCTTATTACCGGTCACGGAACCCGGGATCTCCGATGAAATCCGCGGGACAATTGATATGTCCCCGTGCATCGGGAAATCGAGCTCGGATGTTCCTGATACATCCTTAATGGCTTCTTCCGTATACTATTCTTGGGGGAATCTACGGAGATTTTATTAGTCGTCTATGGTTACGTTAGAAAATATTGTATTTAACCCCTTGCCCTGTGATTTCTTTCTCAACTCTGAGCGATACGGCTACTTTGTCATTAATAATTTAGTGGAAAAACAGGAAAATTCTAAGCATGTTATGCCTATATTTCCTTTTAAGTATAATAGTTGATTACAGAGGAATGATATTTACTTTGAATCATGTTGAAAATCTTCACCGTGAGTTTCACTTATTGTAGGGCAAAGGTTAAAGGAAACTTTTAATTTTCGGATAAACAACGCTTCAAACTTCTAAACTTTCAACCTCCAAAATGTTCAGATTTCATAAATAACTTATACCCCATAAATAGTGTCTTACTTACAGCAGTCTATAAAAAATTCTTAGAACTCAGAAACTTCAAATTTCAAAATATACAAACTTTAATTTTTCAAACTTTCAAACTTTATAATTCTACAACTAACTAACACTCTGTTCACGAGCGCGTCCGCGACGAGGTTAGTCGTTGATTCGAATAAGTCGTTGATTTTCGATAAGTGTGAAATTATATTTTCACACTTAAAAGTACAATGTTGAAATAATACAGTGATTCTAACAATTTCATCAACACAGAGGTTGATTTTTGATGCTTCTTTCTACGTTTGTTGTTGAGACTGGGTTGTTGATTACGCGAGCCGATGTTGTTAACTGACGCTCAAGAAAAAAAAGTGGGCATATTTATAGGAAAAAGGAGCATCTACCGAGCGGCCAATCAGTGCCGCCCGGGGTAGAGGTTCCTTTTGTTTCTCACGCGACAGCGACGATGAGTGTCCTACTATCATTTTTGGGCGCGTAACTCTGTGAACAAAGTCTCATCGTACCAACAGCAGCCCATAAAAGGTCGTCGTGCTCTTGCAGACCGGCTCGAGTATACCAAAGCTAAATCTCTCGACGGCCCTGATGAGCCAGCCACCCCCTAACTTCGGCGTCTCTCAAGTGTCCCCGGTCTCGATGTCAGCGCTGGTTTCGGCGGTGAGGTCGCCAGGAGGTGGACAACTGCCGCCGTCCGCCGGCGGCGCACCGATGCCACCGATCCCGAACATGCCGAACATGTCCGGGATGCCACCTCTGCCGAACATGCCCGGCAGTATGCCCACGCTGCCGACACTGCCCAGCCTTCCAGGACCCATCAGGCGGCGAATCAGCGACAAATCCGCGCTCTCGATGGCAGGAGGTAAGGCTGGTCACTTGTTCTTCCCTTATCCGGTGACGAACCACCGGAGATCGATTCCGGAATATCGGGCGACGAAATAATTTACCGATCGAAGGATCGTCTTGGATTATCATTGAAATAACGCGAGAAGGATCTTCCGTTTTACCTGCACCATGATTGGATTGAAAAGAAACTTGGACAGTTTAGAGTATACATGGAATTTAAAGGAATATCATTGTGCTCTGGAAAAATGAGTTTATAGAATTTTCAATAAGATTTCATTGTATTCTTTCACGTTTCATATAAAATTCTGTATAAGTATGTACGATCGCGACGCCATTTTCCCCGCGCGCGAACGAACTAAAAAATACCTGGATTAATATCGTCGCGGGAAAGGTGAAACGAAAGACTATTCAGAGATTGAATACTATTCGTAGGACTGTATGACGAGGGCACTGTAAGGCGCAGAGTAGCCGTCGATAGATCTGGAATAGATATTAATGAAGGTAACGATTAAATAAAAAATTCTGTCGGGGGACGCTCGTTCTGTGAAATGCTATACAAATCAATCTCCGGTATCTATGATCAACGAACAACATAATTTCACTGTTCACACGTGAATTTATGACGGAAGTGTATTTCTACGCGCCCGATGAAAACGGTGAAA